GAACTTGGTTCCATCCAGCCTGACTGCTAGAAGCATAGGAGGAAAAAACAAGTTTCAGCCTTCTTTAGGCAGCCCTATGCCTACTTCTGGCTCTCTGGCAGCTTCCTCTACATGTACAGATGTACTCACCTGCTCAGCTGGTTGATGGAGAAGAGAATTTCTTCCATGTCCTCTTTCCATAATGCTGTGAGTACAGGGCATCTATCCACTATTATCCCTCAGGAGTGTAACCTTTGACTTCTCAACTGCCTGACACAGGCCAAGTTAAATTCAGGAAGAAAGACAGCACAGACATCTTGTTTTCTCTGCCCAAGCTGACCGCAGTGCAGAGAGAATTTTATTGTCTAAGTGTGAAAGGAAGCAGGAAGAAGTATCAAGGACTATAGGAAGTGCAGAAAGAACTAAATCTAAATACAGGTTCTGTGCTGGCTACACAAGTACACAGAACCATGCTGATTAATTACAAAAAGACACACATGATATAGTTCATAAAGAAAGAAACCCTCCATTTCTTAGTTCGGAGCTGTACCAGTGATAAATATGTAAATGGTTTTGGAGCACCCTGTCAGTGCTATAGTAGAATACTGATGTGCATGGAAGGGGACCCTCTGGTCCCGCTAGCACCATCTCAACCCTGACCTGGAGGGAAACTCTGCTCTGCAGAGATTGCAGGGGATTTAGTAGCCTTCTTGGCCTAGGTTGAGTTGCTGTGGAGCAGGTAGAATCAGAGCACACTCTGAAGGTGAGTGGCTGTGATATGAGTAGGCACCTGCTCAGGAAACAGAAAAAAATATTAAACTCCCTAAGGAGTTCTGCTTGGCTGTAGGGAGCTCTGCTCTGGCAGAACAGACACCAAGCGAGGGTAGCACTTTCCTTCTTAGGTTATGTTACAAACTCTGTAACACAGGTCTTAAGAGGATAACAGTGGAAGACCACTGGAATTTGTGGTGTTACCTCAGCAAGACTCACACAATATATGTGGGAGATGGGGCACATCCTGCTTGTATCCAGCTCTTAATCATCAGGACCACTTGAAATGCTTTACTTGAAAGAAGCAAATGGCTAAAGAAGCCAACTGAAGGGATTAGCTGGAACCAGTGGAGCAGAATCAAGGCCACCTAATCCTGGCTTTTCCCCTTTAGCAAAGGAACTTTTTCCCCGTTAGCAAAGGAATTCTTCTGTTTGTTGTGGTTTCTTAACTCTGCAGGTTTACAGACACTCATGTTTCAGTGTATGCAGCACTGCATGTGAGCCCACCTTCAGCGTAGGCACCTGATTAAGGCTTTCACCTGAAATGCTTAAAAAAAAATCATGTTAAACAGATCTGAAAACAGCGATATAGCTACTGTATAAACACAAACTACCTCCTAGCCACTGTTCTGGAGTCAGTTGTTCTGGCACTATGTATTGACACATACAGTCGCACATAGGTAAAAGACATCGGAATAAAAGCACTCCGCTGCCTAGCTACACCTGCTAACATACCATAAGTTCCTAAAAACCCACTTAGATTATGAAGAAAGGAAAAAGAAAAAAGAAAAGCTTGCATGTCACAGACTGATAGAGATCTGATCCTACTTCTTAGGACATAATGCATATATCAAGAGTGATGTCATCAGAGAAAGTTCTTGGTTTTGTTCACTAATGCAGGCATCCATTTAAAAAAGTTCTGATTGCCTCTGTATCAGAGGACTTGTCTGCATAAAAGTATAAGGAGAAATTCTTACTTCAAGGTTTGAATTACATTTAAAAGAATTTTTGCTAGCAGTAGGCCAACATTTTCTCCAGTAAAGCCTTTCTAACCTCACTTAGACTTGGTGTACAACAAAGGCAGTGTCTATCCATTCATAGTGTAGAGGCAGTTCCCTTCCACAGGGTTCAGGAGGACTCAGATGAGGTGTACTGAACAGTGAAATTTACACTGCAGAGGTACTTGAACTATCACATCAATATGTAATATTAAATACTTCATTAAAAGGAATCTTCAAGAACCACCTTTTTGTATTCTGTGGCTGCTAAAATGTATGAGTTAAACCCTATTTTTCACAGAAAAGTGAAGACTCATCTTCAGACTTTTTTTCTTAGGTTTTGAGGCAGACAGGCCAGAAACTATAGCAGCTCATTGAGGGAGAAGAGTGGAATTGCCAGAGCAGGGTTAATTCTTCATTGTAACCTCAAGTTACATAGGGCAGAAAACTGCACTGCACAAATCCTCTGCTTCAAACTTGGGGTGCTCCCTTGTTTGTCATCTCCTCCCCAAGGAACCCAAGTTTTATAGTGAAGTGATTCATCTTGTTACGGAGATACAGAGTGGACAAGAACAAGATGGGGGAAATTATTAAATCATTTTCTATTTCTTTGCACCAGCCTAAACTGGTAATATAGAAACAGCAAGAGGCAGGAGATTTACCATCCAAAGAAACACAGCAGCAGACTTGAAACAGTAGCTCTAGCAGATGTCTCAGTGTCTGGTCCTGCATCCATCTTGAGAAGTCATCAATGTTAGATGCAGAAGAATTAAAAGATTCCCAGCATACACAGTTATGTAACTAAATTTTGAAAGAGGATATTCTTGTCTTGCTCCAGCTAGTGAGTACTCTGAAGGATGAGGATTAAGAGACCTTAAGCTCTACCTGTCACTCATTCCTTAAACATCCACTTGCTTTGATTTTCTAAACTATTGGCCTCAGTTACATCCTGCAGGGAAGTGCTTAATTACTGGGTCAAACAAAGTGTTTTGTTCTAAGCCATTCCGCCCTGGTGATCTCAGACTCTTGAGCATCCTTTTGCCCTGCTCTCAGGAAAGCATCATTAGCTTGCAGCTGACCCTTCCCTCGCCCATTCTTCTTTCAAGTCTTTTTCCCCCCGCCTTTCCATCTAAAAAGGCTCACATTGATCCACTTATTGAATGTGCTCTGTATGAAGCTACTAATTATTCTCAAGAGCTTTCCAATCATTTTTAGTTAACCAATCAAAAAAGTGTATTTCCTAGTTTTATATAAGTATTACAGTTTTTTTCTCAATTTCATACACTTTAATAAAACCCAACATTCACTTCCCTTTGCTGCTTGCTGGTTGGATTTATTGTAGCTTTCACAGTGACACCTGAACTTTCAGTGTGCTACACAACAGCATGAGAAGGCAGCTCGTGGCTTTCCTATGACCCATATTATTTACAGGTATCTGTGGTACCTTTACAGCTATCACCACTAGCATCCAGGTACTAGCTATGCCAATTTACAGCTGCATGTTGGCCAGAGGGAACATTCAAATGACTGCTTGCCTTGGTACTGTCTAGTTTCAGGGTTGTGAGTAGCTGGAATGCAAGGGAGAACGAGTATTTCAATGCACTATGAAACTTGCATCCTCTTCTGGATTAACCTTATCTTGGATCAGCAGCAAGTTATGACACCTCACTGTGGATTCTCCTCCTGGTCATGCAGCATGGCAGAAAAGTACAAACAGCTAAAAGAGCTCGGAAGAACAGACTGCAGTTGTATGAACACATACCTAGTGTCCTGCATGTTACATCACAGTGAAGGATGTACAATTAGGGACCTGAAAGGCTCAAGATAAAATACTTGTGGGCAGTGCTACAAGGATTAACACTGCTTTAACTCGGCAGAAGAGCTGATTTGTTTGGAGATAAAGAGTCCATTCTCTGCCACCAAAATAGCACTGCTTACATGAGAGTGTGACACAGCTATACTGTGACACAAAACTGCTAGAGGGCTACGCTCCACATTTTTTTAATGACTCCACCGGAAAGTAGAAGTTCTAACCAGTTTAAATAGTTAGCTTATCATATAGTTTAGCTCCTTGTTAATGTTATTTAAAAACAGCTTCTCTCCAACCCTCTGACTGCCAAGCTGAGTTTCTGCATCCCCAGATCCATGGATCCTCATCACTTCAAGGCTACACTGTGCTGACTCCTGGCAACCACTGTTTCCAGGCCATAGGTCTCAGAGACCTGACGACGCTCCTGATTTCTGCAGCATCACCACTCAGTCAGTGAGACTGCATCCCCCTGAAAAGTAGTTTAGGAAATGTTAAGGCTGTGACTGGACAGAAAAGTCCAGCCCAACTGTGAGGCTGGTATGGGGAACTGCCTTGAGCAGGGCTTCCCACCAACATGTGCTCAGGGCTGGCATTCCAGGCTATAATGCTAGTACTGCAGCGATGGAGGAACAAGACTCTTGCAGAAAGGAAAAATGCTTGTAAAACCTTTTCAGGTCATCAAATTCTTCCTCACCTATTTCTCCTAAAACTTGTACCTTGGTGACTGAGATGCCTTCTGCTGGCTTTCACTAAAGCAGACAGCAGCTGCTACTAGAGAGAAGGCAGATGCGGGGGGAGAGCTCCAAACTCACGTGTCTCATCAGCCCTGGCCTTTCCCCTGTTCTGCTAGGCCAATGTCTCTGCCTGTTTTCACATTAAAATGACACAGGGATACCCTGTCCTCTGCTCTGTATGGCCGCAAAAGGCCATACTGTAACAGTCCAACAGCAGTGCAACAGGTAAAGATGCCACCATCCCACTCTGCCCCCTCAGACTCAATGAAATGCATTGAAATAGGCTGGATTAAACCCAAGATGTGTTTTCTCCAGACAAGAGGCTCTTGCGTGATTAATAAAACAGAGACTGAGCGATATCAGCCCTGTCTCTCACAAGAGCAGTGTTAAAGTGCTCAGAATGACAAAATATGAGTGTTTGCACAAGATGCAGGGGCTGTCCCATTCCAACATCACTCAACCCCACGGGCTTTGCATGGGCTCAGTACTTGTGCCGGCAGGGAAGTAGCACCTTCCCAGCAGGGAAGGAGCATTGTAGATGAGATGCTTCATTTACTTGCTGTCAGTCCCAAAAATCTGATAGCAAGTGTGCTGGCCCCACTCCCTATGCTCTCTGCAGCACATTCCCACCAATGTGCAGATCTGTTCTAGGGAAAAAAAAAGCAAACAACCCCCTCCCCCAAAATCCCAAACCAACAACAACAACAAAAAAACCCACACTTGCTTCAGTGAATTACAATGGACTTCTCTCCCAGAAGCAGGTCCTCTGGGACCATGGGATCCAGCTCTGGGGCTGGCCCACTGGGAGGTACCTGGGAAGACCAGCACTGTCTTCCACTCCCACTCCCCTCTTCCCTGTGTCAGAATTGCTGCAGGTGGATTCTGGTCCCAGCTGTGGCCAGCAAGGAGTCCGTGGATCCAGACACACAAGGCACAGCTCTCTTCAAACCCGGATTTGATACCCATTGAGGTCTGGCATGGCTTTGGAATCGGCAGACTTTTTCTCACCAGATGGCCTGTGAGCAAAGAATGTTAAGAACTATTCAGGAACTCTTCTCAGCCAGGAGAGCCTGTACACAAAGATGCAGCACTGGATAAACAGGCAGGAAAGGTTTAGACTCACACCACACTATTGTGGGCAGGATTATTCTCTACCCTTCAATAACTCTCTGAAAGAGCTTCGCAGAAAAATGAAGGAAGGAAGAGTAGGAACTCCACACTGGTATCTCAGATCAGTTTTGAGGAGAACAATCTCACGGACCAGTGATGTAATCTGTGAAATCTCTTTGGGGTACTGGCTTGCAAGATGCCACAGCTCAAACCTCAGAGCAAACTTAAATATCAGTTACTGAAATCACTGTCTATATGAGCATCCTTCCCCCACTCCAAACAAAAAAAGCAACCAACAACCCCCTGGCACAAGCAGTGATAACCTCAAAGATGTAGATTAGGGAGGGATGCTAATGCAAGCAAGAGAAGACTCCTCTGTTATAAAAAACCCCAGTAGGATCCCAAACATATGTAAGACAAGACAGCAAGATGGAGTCTGTCAGCATGATAAAAGATGCCCTAGTTCTGCTGCCTTGCAGCCCCACTCACCGTCGGTCCCCGCGGCTGTTGCGCCGATGGGGGCTGGCCTGACCTCTTTGCGGGGAGGAAACATCTTTCTTCCTATCCTTGGTGGGAGACGGTGGCCCTGTTCCTTTGCCAATCTGCCAGAAAATTTAGGAAAAAGAAAGAGTAACATCAGCGGAAAACCAATACTAGTAGTAACTAGAAGCCACCCATTCACCCTTCACTCCACCACACAGGAGATCTCTTGCCACTTCATGCCCCCAGCATGCCACAGTCCAGGCGAAACAGCAGATGTACCTGGGTGTCACATCCCCACCCCGGTTGCTCACCTTCAGCCTCATATCACGGGCATGTCTCTCAAGCTCTTTACGGAAGTCTTCCCGGCTTAGCTTGTCCAAATCCAGGATGGAGTGTTTCCACTCAATCTGCTCCACACTGTGTGGGTCATGGGACACGCAGTGCCCCAGCTTCACCTTTTTGAGGGTGTGCCAGCAGCGGCGATACGCCTCCTCAAAGTCAAAGATGAGCTCGCTCAGGGTGCGGAAGACGGGCGCCTTGTACATGAGCTCCTCGCGCCGGCTGATGCCCAGTGCTCCGTAGCGGCCTCCAAAGTTCACCCCCAGCACAATGTGTCGGAAGTAGTTCCCTGAGAAGTGGGTTTTGAAGCTGATGGGGAAACGGTCCAGCGTGGTCATGTTGTTGGTGAGGTAACTGGCAGCAGCAGCTATTCAGGAAACAACTGGTGATACCACTTTCTTGACAAAATGCTTCCTTCCTGCTCCAAACCCTCCCAGCCTGCTTAGCACTCACTACTGACTCAGGCATCACACAGACAGGATTTGTTCTCCAGATCAAGAGTCCAACTAATTGCAAGCTGTCCTACTTTCATCTGGGTCACAGGGAAATTGAGTTATCACTGACTTGGCCTCCTCGGCCCGACAGCCAACATAGGAGAGTTAACTGCGAGGCAGGTTTGTGATGCAGAAGTTTCAATACTAACATGCTGAATGCATTTTATTTCATAATTATTGAGAAACTCTGCAGCATTATTTTACAGTTTCTTTTAATGTGTTTTACTAGCTGTTATTTCACTCAGAAACCCAGGAACCTTCAGAATCAGGCACTTACCAGGCCACTCCTCTGAAACATTCCCTTGCCATCCCTGCCCATCCAGGGGCCCTTGCCAGTATGTTTCAAAACCTCCAGTCCATGTGACATAGCTTGGGGAAGAGAGCTGGGAAAGATGTTTGCTTAAAGGCAGATGCAAGTTTAGAATTAACAAGGGCAAACTTAGGAGTTTGCAGGCAATTTCAGACTTTCTACTGGGCGAATGTACACCATACTCAACAGTTGGCTAGGATCTCCTCCCTTTTTTAGTACAGAACACATGCAGGTAATGTTGCCATGGGGCAATGTTTTCATCCACAAAGGACTTCCTGACCTAATTCTAGGTAACATTTTTGCCCCTTGATGTGTTCCTTAGAATTTCTCTTTTACTCAATACTAGAGTTATCTAGAGTAGCATTACTTTCCTTGGAGAGAGGGGAGTGACTCTGAGGAATTAATTCTGGTATTTCAATGGTTTGCTTGGATTTTGTCAAGGATTTGGGGAGAACTCTGGTGGGGGGAAAGAAAGGGATGTGGGGATGGGTGGCAATAAATCAGCAGCCTTGAAGCATCATAAAAGAACAGAGCAGAGAACAGGGATGGGCAGACATGCGCATTCCTAAGAGGACAGGATACATTCCCAGGATCACAGCTTCCAGGCATTTGATTGGCAGGGCCTCTTTGGTCATTTCTTTGGCCAGGTCCATGAGCCTGTGGAACAGGACAAGGGGAAGAGGAGGAGAGTTAGAGGGCTTATGCAATGCAAGCCTGGCAGGTTTAGCCCTTTTGCAGTATAGACGCAAGGTAGTTTTCCAGGAGAGAGGAAGGCCCATTAAGGTCTGGGTACAGGAGAAAATATCTTCTTGTAGGAAGATATTCAAATCCAAATCAAGCCTTCTGACACTGTGTACCACTCAGTGTCACTGCTTACATGGCGCTCCCTTCAGTGAGTCACACTAGGCCAGCCCCTGTTCTCAAGCAGGCCACAACACTTGGCTCAGTGAGTTCTTCTGGATGGATCCCCATCTGCTGGCAGGCAGGAAGCTCAAAGGAGCAAGGGCCAGCAGTGTTTGCCTCACAAGCTCGAAGACAGCAGAGCTAGCAGCCTTCCTCTCTATCCAACAAATATTGCAAAGGAGACATCGCACTGATTACAATACATTTGAGTGACATAATCTATGGACTGAGCTAATAATAAGAAGCTGGTACCAGACTTGGAAGAGTGTCTGTATCCTGGCCAAAGAATAATCTCTGGAATCTGGGAAGAGCTGTGTCTGTTAAATTTCTGCAATTATGACAGTCACGCTCTTTTTACTTCCAAATGCAAGACACCAAAGGTTTAGTGAGTCTAGATTCTGCAAAGACACTCACAAATGCTACAAAGTCAGACCTGCAAAGATATTTGTTTTGTACAAAACTTATTTAGGCAGAACCTAGTTTCAGAATCCATCAAAAGCTCATATAGTTATATTACAATTCACATATCTTTTGAATACATAATTTTACTGTTTTTACTGTGTTGTAAACACACTGTACTGTGTTGTTGTTTACTGTTTTACTAATTTGTGACAACAAAACCTACCTTTTTCCTTTAGAAATGTTCCTTTTCCTACCTTTCTTTAAGAAAGGCTAGACACAGCTCTGCTCAGCCATTCCTGAAGCAACAGACAATAAAGCCACCTAAAGTGGGATGGAGCTGCAATGTTGAGAGCTCCAAGTGCCACCTGGATGCTGGCCAGGGGAAGGAAGAACAAGCAGTGGGCCAAGCAAAGCCCCAGCATTTTAAAGCATGGATAAAGATGCCAGCACTTACCCGGTCAGAGGTCTGCTCTTCTTAATTTCAAAGAATTGTGTCCCAGTGTGATTGTACCTGGAAGTTAGAGGTTAAGGGCTCTGCAGCTCAGAGAATAGAGTTTCAAGGAAACCTGTCTGAAAGAACCATCACAAATACATTACTCACCCCTTTCACAGCAAGGTCAGGCTCCCACAAACACATCATCCAAGCAAGAAAGTCCCCACCTCCCTATCCTGCATTTCTCCCTTTAGAGCCCCTCCTTAGTCCCGTTGTATTTTCTTCCTATTGATTCTTCTT